AAATATTTTCCTTTATTTCAATTTTGTGTCTTCATTTGAAAGACTCGTCACTCCAATCTCAACGTGGCTCTATCACTCGGTCTTTGTCCTCCGAGGCTTTCTCAGAGAAGCCTGTGCTCTCAGCTTTCATAACTGCAGACTGACCTCCATCATAGAGTAGGCCTCACCCAATCAGTTGAAGGCATGGACAGAACCAAAGGCTGACTTTCCCTCAGAAAGTCAGAATTCCCCTGCCAAGCAGCCTTCACACCGGACATCGGCTCTGCAGGTACTGGACTCGCTAACCACCCTAGTCAATGAGCCAATTTCCTACAATCTGTCCCTAATGTATCCTGTTGGTTCTCTCTGGAGAACCCTAATACACTCCCCTAAAAGAAACCCTGCACCCCTTAGCAGTCATTGCCAACCCCTCCTCCTCCAGAGCAACCACTATATATTTGCCTATTCTGGATATTTTATAGAAATGGAATCATACACTATGTGATCTCCTGTGACTGGTTTCTTTCACCTAGAATAATGTTTTTAAGGTTTCTCCAAGTGGTAGCATGTATCACTACTTCATTTCTTTTTATTGCCAGATAACATTCCATTGTATGAACATACCAACGTTTTAGTTCTCCATTCATCAGTAGATACATATCTGGGCTGTCTCCATTTTTTGGCCATTATGAATTATACGGCCATAAACACTTATTGACAGGTTTTTTTTGGATAGACACGTGCCTTTTTTTCTCTTGGGTATAGACTGAAAGTGGAGGAATAGAATGTTTAACATTTTGAAGAACTGCCAAACTGTTTGCCAAAGTATCTTGATCATTTTAGCAGCAATGTACAAGAGTCCCAATTTCTCCACATCCTAGTTAACACTTCCATTGTCTATCTTTGTTATGATAGCCATCACAGTAGCTGTGAAGTGGTATCTTACTGAAGTCTTGATTTGTATTGCCCTCATATTTTCTAATCATCTTTTTGGTTTCTTCTTTGACCCATTGGTGATTTAGCACTGTGCTGTTGAATCTATATTTTTGTGCATGTCCTAAATTTCCTTTTCTTCCTGATCGATTGACCTCTTTTCATAATGAAATATCCCTCTTTATCCCTCATTTTTTTTAATTTTAATGTCTATTTTTATCTATTAGTGCAGTCAGTGCAGCTCTATTGTGGCATTTGTTGTTGTTTTTGTTTTGTTTTAGTTTTGTGTTGTGTGTGTGTGTGTTTTGGCCTGGTATATCTTTGTCCAACCTATATTTTTAAATTAAAATCTGTGTCCTGTAGAGAGCATAAATTTTTAGTGCAATCACAAAAATCTCTTTTAATTGAGCTGTTTAAGCCATTCACATTTAATATTATTTGTGATGTTGTTAGTGCAAACCTCTCAGGTTGCAATTTGGGAAAACTGGTCTCAGAGGATGTCCACAGACAACTCTTGGGAAAGACTTCCTTCCACAGTCAGATACACGAGGAAATGCTGCATTCTATCCTCTTTGGGCACTCATCATTTAATAGGCATCTGAAAGGTGCTGAGTCCTGCAGCAATAACTCTTAAGCTTTGTTTAATGCAGCATTTCTCAAACTTACTTGATTTCAGAACTCTTTTGCAGAAGAACAAATATCTCAGGAGACACGGATGTTTCACGGAGCAGTTGGGGAAACATAGTGTTTAGAATGAAATTAATTTCATTCAAAAATCTTTCCTGTATATCCAGATGAAGAAGATATTTCTTACTTGTGCTTAGATATTCAAACAGGGTTTCTGCCACCAGGTGAATTTTCTCATGTCATCAAACCCAGGCAACTTCAAAGGGCCATCTGCTTTCTAGAACTTCTTCCAGGTCCCCTCCTTGCAGCAGCCGCAGGTTCTACCAGGGGATGTCCCTTCTGGCGCCCAGGACCAGTGGGTGCCACAAGCAGACACAGTCAAAGGCAAACCAGGGCTTTTGAATTTAACCAGCTGTGGTACTCAAAGCAAATCTGGAATCTATTTCAAAAAGCTCACAATTAAGTAGGAGAAATAGACTTGGGAGGGAGTGATCGATGTGATAAATCAGGAACTTATATTGTCACCACGGACACCTGCTGACCAAGTTTAAAGAACTCAAGGTCCTTGGTAAAGAAAAACCACGCTGATGACTTCTCTTCTGCCCTGTTCACCAGGAGGGACAGAGGGCTGGGCACGGGGTCCTACTCACCTGGACCAGCTTGTCAGAGCAAAACCGTCTATGCTGCTCTTTTGAAAATTCCGCCAGCCTCGTGGTTTCATCCTTTCCATTGGCAGAGGTACGTTTGGATTCAGGGCTCCCGGTGGCTCCACCTACCTTCTCAGGAGTTTCACATGAAGCCTCCTGGCTGAGCGGGCCCCTTCCTCCCTGTGCCCCCAGGTTGGGGCTTTCCTGCTTTGGTCCTTCTCTAGAGGCTGTGGCGTCTACAGGAAGCAGCCTCATTCTTTTTCTTTCCTTAGCTTCTCAACTGTCCTTTCAAACAAACAGGGAGAATAGGGCCTCTGGTCCTGGTACCTGGTCCCAGCCTGAAATATACACCCTCCCTCCCCGATAGTAACATGGTGGTGGCAGGCTGCTAAGAGCCCAGGGAGAGAGAACTTGCAAGCTTATCACACATTCATAAGCTCTGATTCAGGAGGATAGCAGATCACTGGGACAAGGATCTGATTTAAGAAACCAGAGTTGAATCTCCAGTCTGAAAACAAAGGATAGAGTGTTTTTTTGTTGTTGTTGTTTTAAATATGTTTTTTATTGATCTTTAGAGAGAGGAAGGGAGAGGGATAGAGCGATAGAAACATCATCAATCAGCTGCCTCCCGCACCCCCCACCCCACACACACACACACACTGTAGATTGTGCCTGAGCAGGTGCCCTGACCAGGAATCGAACTAGAGACTTCTTGGTTGCTGGGTTGGTGCTCAACCACCGCGTCACACTGGCCTCCCCAGAGCGCGGGGTTTAAACAGTTTTCTTCTTTGGGACTCAATCCCCAAACAGAGTTGCCACCGCCCACCTCCCATAGCTCAAAAGTGACTTAGCTAAAAATATAAAAGTTATTCCATAAGTGATAAAATCAAAACTAAAAAAAAACAAAAACAAAAAACAAAACACCCATAGAAATAACTAAACTCCGGAAATATAGTTGCTTAAACATTTGTATTTTTATTGAACTTCTTTTTTTAAATTTCTGCCCGGTTACGACAATTAAATAGGAAACCGCAATTACAATTCACAAACTGTGGCATGAAAAATAACACACATCCCATCACCCATCAGGAAGGACACCAAGCCCTTTCCATGTTTTTCAGTCATAGGAGTCCATCACACAAGTGTCAAATATGGGCACTGTCATTTTTTCTTGGAAGGGGAAGAACATTAATCCTGGCAGCACGTTACAATTCCAGGAAGCGGTTCTGATACTGCGAGTTGCAGGGATAGAAACCATAACCAACATGGAGGGTGTTTCTTGGGGGGCCAGGGGCTACTTGGTGGGAAGACTCCCCGTGTGCTTAGTGACCTGCCTGTCGCCTCCGCTGGCTGAGTCTTCCCAGGTGTGGAAGGAGGAAAGGACTTCCTGCACAGATGGTGCAAGTTCCCGCAGAGCAGAGTGTTTCTGTATCTTCACCCCTCCCCCACCCTGGGGCAAGGTCTCAAGCTTTTCTGGAGCTGCTTTCGGTCACATGACCCTCGACTGCATGGTCTTTTTACTTAAACACATGTGACCCCAAGATTTCTTCTTACTCTGCTTCTCTAGGGTTCGGATGACAGCACAAAACATCACTTGTTGAAAAATTGATATTAAGAACGTGGGCATTTATGTTCATAATAACAGCACACACTCTTCAGGGTATGTCACCCAAAGGGGCATTTTTTTTTCTTCATTTAATATGGTCCCAGGAGAATTAGCTCAAAGTCACACACTTAAGAGTCTTTACAAAAGACGGGGCAAAATCCGTTAATTTGACAGTTTAGGAACTGTCTCGTGCCAATTAAAAACTTTTACGATTCAATGGTCCACAAAGCAATTAAACATTAGCATTCAGTTGACACACACGCACACACGCCCATGCACACACACGAGAACTGTGACAAAAGGCTCCACCAGACTGATTTTGTGACTGTTCTCATGAGAGCAAAATCTCAATTTTGAGGTGTCATATTCAAGTATTTAAAAATGGAGAAACAGTCTGATTCCACGTGGTTTTCTGATCATCAGAAATCGCCCTTGTTTAACTGGAGATTCTGGAATTGGTCAAGTTAACTCCTGGGGCACAAAATAGTCTACAAAAATTGATTCGTGATTTTTTGTGATGCAGCCACTTGCTCGTTGACACTTGGTGGACCGTGGCATTCCAAGAGTTAATACTTTATGAAAGAATACGACCAGCGGACTCGCTTTTCCTGTCTCACACGGGTGAGAACAGTCTTACACATTTTCGATCAACATGCAGAGGAGGCAGATGTAAACGGTCCCTCACATCCCTCAGAGGAGAAGGTGTTACTACTGCAGGAGATGCTGCTTGGCCCTAATTAGGAATCGAAGGGAAAGCAATTTGTTTGGTTTGCTTCTTACGTTTTGCTTTGTGGAGATTTTAAAACAAGTTTTCCTAGTTCTTGGCAGAAGACCGACCAGTCAGGGGCTCTGTATTTATAAATAACCAGTGAGGGATTATGCTCTCCAATTAGGCCATTGACTATCTGAAGGCCTGACAGCCAGATGTGGAGGCTTGCCAAGTGCTCTGCTATATTTCACAGACTCTGTCCTAGAAAAAAAGAGCACTCACTCTGAGAGTTCTCTGCGTGTTTCAGAACTGACTCCTGATTATCTTAAGCTATGGAAAGACTCAGGCCCTGCCGGTGTGGCTCAGTGGTTGAGCGTCGACCCATGAAACAGGGGGTTATGGTTCTATTCCCAAGCAGGGCACATGCCCGGGTTACGGGCTTCATCCCTAGTAAGGGGCATGCAGGAGGCAGCAGATCAATGATTCTGTTGCATCACTGATGTTTCTCTCTCCCCCTTCCTCTCTGAAATCAATAAAAAAAATTTTTTTTAAAAGAAAAGACTCAGGTTTTCAATGGACTCGCTAACGCTTCGGCCTCCTGCTAAAGAACCCTAACCCCAGACCTCCATCGGTGAATCACCAGTGACCACAAATAGTCAGCGAGGAACACTGTGCTCGGCAGTAGTGACATGTGGCAGCGAAAAGGAACCACCCCAGCACCCTGCCCAGCAGCTCACAGGCAGGGCCTTTCGTCAGAAGGAGAGGAGTCAGTGTCTGCGTGCACCTTGCAGACTATTGGCAACCTCTACGAGCCAACCCTTCACCCATGGGCAGACAGGTATCTTTTTTGTTTTTTAATCTGCCAAGGATTACAGAGTAAAGAATGAACAGAAAGGTCTTATGCTAAAATAAGAAGTCAGCCCCATCTTGGCACAGTTCTCATGCGAATATTGCACCCAGTGTTAACTAACGCTAGAAGCTTCCAACTGTATAAATTTAAATGTCTTTGCATATTATAAAAATAAAGATAAACATGTACATATTTTACACTAGTTGCGGAACAGCAATGAATGGTCAGGCGCGCCCTCGTTCACATTGAACAGAACTGAAATCTGAGTGCTCTAAATACTGCCACCTGCGCTGGAACTATGGCTTATATGTGCACAGAAAACAAAATCCCTGAGAAGCCATTCGACTTTTTTTTTGTCTTTTCTTTTCTTCAAGTAGCGCTCTCCTTGGAGGATCACAGTTCTGAGGTTCAGGTTGTAAAACACTTGCTCCATATTCTCTCTCCCGACCTCCCCCCGCCCCTCCCCACCTCGTCGGCAGGCCAGGCGGGCTCCCTCCTCTGAGAGCACCCTGAGCCGTGCGCTCAAGTTCACGACACACTGGGAGTGTGGAGGGTTACCAGGTACGAAACATGGTCCAGGTGAGTCTCTTCACGGAAATTCCACAGCCATAAAGGTCACTGGTTTCTGTGCTTTTCACCAACGTTCTTCCTACGTGGGTGGGTGAGAAGAAAGCACAGGAATGACAACAGGCAATGGTATTCTCAACGATAAGCACAGGAAGCGATGCTCTAAATCTACTTTGCACGGATTTTATTTCTATTTCTAGAGCACCTTATCGTTGCCTAATCACGTTCCTACCAAGGAAAGAGTCCTTTCACGAGACACCTGTCGGACATTTCTGTGACATGAGGCTCAGACATAGAGACTACTAGACCAATGACATAGAAGCACTTACTCCACTGCAATCTCAGTTCCCTGGGTCTGTAATTAAGAACCCCAAACTCTAAACACATCACTGCCCCCTGACCAGGAACTCACACGGACACACGCTAAATAAATAACCTTCTAGGACAGTGATGGCGAACCTATGACACGCGTGTCAGAGGTGACACGCGAACTCATTTTTTTGGTTGATTTTTCTTTGTTAAATGGCATTTAAATATATAAAATAAATATCAAAAATATAAGTCTTTGTTTTACTATGGTTGCAAATATCAAAAAATTTCTATATGTGACACGGCACCAGAGTTAAGTTAGGGTTTTTCAAAATGCTGACACGCCGAGCTCAAAAGGTTCGCCATCACTGCTCTAGGAGTAGGGATGTATACTAAAGAGTAAGAAGGACTGTACTTAAAGTGTTGTAAACAAGGCTGTTGAACTACACTCAGGAGCCGGGTGAATATAAAATGAAGAAAGGGCTGTGTCTTCAGTTAATTAAACGAAGTGACCTTCAATTCAGACAAAAGAGGGAAAAATGGCCAATGTCCCCCTCCCTATTTCAGCTTTGCTACAAAGGCAAGCTGTGATGTTTTAAGAACTGCTTTAGCAACGTTTAGAAAAACATACGAAGACATACAGGGGTGAGGATCCCCCTTCCTCACCTTCCAACCTCCATCTCTCCTAAGGCTGCTTGATTTTAAGGAAACTGATAATTCAGTATCTACCTAAGACATCTCTCCAGCCCATACAAGAATCTGCTGAACATAATAATAATGTCACCAAAAACAGACACCTTCCATTTACTAACAACATACGACACGCTGGGAATAGCACCGTCCACTGTAGAGCATTATTTCACGAATCATCAGCTCAGCTTATCCTGCCAGGTAAGCACGTTTCCCCTGCATTTTACCAAGACACAAACCAAGGCTCCAAGTGGTTAAATAACTTCCCTGAGGGTCCACACCAGAGAGCGGCAGAGCTAGGCCTTCAAAGGAGTTGCCTGACCCCAACCTGTGCTGGGCGGGTTGGAATATTCAGGGCCCCAGGACAGTCTCCGGCTTCTATGGCACTCAGCCACAAGGACCCTTTGAAGGCCTGTTAATATAGTAACTTCGGCCCTAGCCGGTTTGGCTCAGAGGATAGAGCGTAGGACTGCAGACTGAAGGGTCCCAGGTTTGATTCCGGCCAAGGGCACATGCCTGGGTTGCAGGCTCGATCCCCAGTAAGGGGTGTGCAGGAGGCAGCCGATCAATGATTCTCTCTCATCATTGATGTTTCTATCTCTCTCTCCCTCTCCCTTCCTCTCTAAAATCAATAAAAATATTTTTTAAAAAATAGTAACTTCACAGTAGAGAAAGATTTGAAGACCGCCTGAAATTCAAGTAATAATACATCTCACTGTAAAGAGGACGGCCTCGTGAAAACACACGTTTCAACCAAGCAGTTAACTTTGGCGCTGGAAGACGTGGGTTCGTGCGAGAGAAGTGCTACGTAAATGTTTTGTTCACGGAATCCAAGAACCTGCGGAAATGCCGACAGCTGTGTCTGGCTATCGGCTCCCCTGAGCCACACGTGAGATTGAGAAACACAAGAATCCCTCATCAGGGGCACCTAGAGGGGATTCTCCAGCAAGGAAGGGAGTAAAAGGAAAAGCGGTGTGAACATTTCCCCACATGCATACCACGCTTCATGTTCGGGCTCTTAGAGAAAAAAAATCCATCGAGTCACCGCTTCCCCATCGCAGTTAGCTTGTCCTCACCCATCAATCAAGATCCACTCAAGTTCCTAGAACAGCTCTGGCTGGTGGTGTTCTTTCTTCCCTGTGCCTACAGGACTTTGCTGATCCACCGGTCAGCAGGTATCACATTTTAGTTGTAATTACTCACAAGACTGCCCGGTTGTAGCTTTGGTTCTCATTCTCCCCATGGAGGCTATTAGATTCTTGAGGGCAGAGTCTAACTCAGTTATTTCTGCATCAACACCTGGCACAATGCCTAGCAGAGGTTAAACACTCAACAAAGATCCGCTGAATGAATGATTAATAAGATGTGATGAAAAAGTCACAGGTAAAAAATAGCCAAGCTACTGTGAGCTCACTGCTATAATGGAGGTGTATAGAGGTATTGAAGAGATGTGAAGGAAAGAGTGACCGATGAGTTAGAAGGGCTGATGGCTTCTCAGAGGTGACACATGGCCTTGGCCTTAGGAATAATGGGCCTTCACTGGGTGGGAGGGAAGGGGTGGCAGCCAGCTGAGGACTGAGACCCAGCCAGGGGCGCAGTATGGCTGACCCCCCTCCCACCCCCCACAGTAAGAGGGTATGGGAGTCATGCCCAGGATTTAAACCTGAGACTATAATCACTAGGAAGCCATTCAAGGCTTTTTCATAAGGAGAGAAGTAACAGGGTCTCACACTTGAGTTGAGACTTAATCACAGAAATCTTGGCAAAGGCAGGTGGATCTAGAGAATAGCGTGGGTCGAAGAGAAAGTTACACGGCGGGGTTCACTCCTGTTGAGACACGCGGATATGACCGTAGAAGGTGTGCACCTGGAGAAGGGGGGCAGTGCTGAGGCTGATGGATCCCTAGCTTCACAGATGCGTGCAAAGCACAGGCTGATGAAGGGCTTTGGGGGAGAAAGACAGTAATTCACACCCATGACGCCTACATCCAAGGGGGTTGCCAGGTAGGAAGTTGGAAACAGAGGCCTGGAGAAGGGAGAGATCAACTGGGGTGTGTGTGTGTGGGGGGGGGGGGGGGGGGGGGGGGGGTCTGAGACCCAGCATCCTCTCGGGTTACTGAACACACATTCCTGGGATATATGTTATTGAAGGTATTGAGAAGCTTAGCCCAACACTGAAGCCACACCATGACGTGGTAGCCATGCCTTTTACTTCCTGTATTCTGAAGTTGTGACATCAGGATCTTGCTGCCCCTGGAGGGGCTGTCCCCGCAATGTGAGCCAGTTGCCAGAGATGGTAAACAACTCAAATGTGAGTGTACTTCTCAAATGCAAACCAGACCCCACAACCTCCTCACTCTCTGGGCCACCATCCACCTGCCCCAAACACTGCAAAGGTCCCAGACAACCAGGGACAGTCCTAGGCCCCAGAGCCCCCTGAAACTATCCAAACCGGCCAGTGCTAAGCCTGTCCCTCTGCCTTCCCACAGAAACCACAATACAGGCCCTTGCCCAGTTCCTCCCTCTCTCTCTGCCTCGTGACCAACCCGGTGATTCCCCATGTAGCTCCCCGCCCCAACCCCCCACGGCATGTCTGTCCTCTAAGGAAATGTGAGTAATCAACTATCTTTTCAATGGCAGCCGTTTCCTGATCTGCTGGCCTTACTATACCTCCAATGTTCTATTAATACACTATGTTTGGAAACCAATGTGGAAGGAAGAGCTTGCTGTGAAAACAGCACCGACTGGGAGCCACGATGCAGATTTCAGCCCAGCGGTGCCCTCAGTAACTGTGTTGTGGGCTCAGTGCTTCGGCCTATGGAACTTACGGGGCTGTCGGGAGGAGCGAAGGAGTCGGGGTCCCCTCCGAGGAGTTTATCCAGTCACGTAGGCATGCGTGACTACAACACGAAAGAAATGCTACCACTCATCTCTTAGCTCCTGAAGCCTGGGCTGGGTATTGATGTCACTGGTAACTGCAGGCGGCCTTACCAACAGATCCTCGTGCATTCTACCTGGGCCCCTCATGTGCAAGGCAGGGAAGGGAGGCCAACACCCTCACCTACCTATCCCGCACTCATGTGTACCTTCCGTGGGCAGGCACCTCCATTAACAAGCTAAACCCTGCTAGTAAGTCAGAGGGTGGATTTTACTCAAGTATCTCTATGTGTATTATGAATTTTTTTTCATTATTACCTGTATGTGCCACCCCCAGTGCACACCACTAATAATTCTGAGTAGAAATAAGAGCAACTGAATTTATTGAGCATTATTTACTCAGTGCAAGGAACAATGCTAAATGCTTTCCCTGTGATAGTCTCTCTTATTATTATTTTTTTTTATTGATTTTTTTACAGAGAGGAAGGGAGAGGGACAGAGAGTTAGAAACATCGATGAGAGAGAAACACCGATCAGCTGCCTCCCGCACACCTCCCACTGGGGATGTGCCCGCAACTAAGGTACATGCCCTTGACCGGAATCGAACCCGGGACCCTTGAATCCGCAGGCTGACGCTCTATCCACTGAGCCAAACTGGTTAGGGCTGTGATAGTCTCTCTTAATGCGCCCAGTAACCCCAGGAGATTAGCGCTTCCGTAATCTGCATCTGACAGATGCTACCTCACAGCTAAACAAGTCAAGTCGGGAAGATTCCAACTCAGGAAGTTAATTCCCGAGCCCATCAAAGTGCCCTGAGAAAATAAATACAAACATGGCTTTTAGAAAGCTATTGGCTGTGCTGATCAACTGAGCTTTTCCTGATGTTATCATCTTGTCTAATATTGGAGTAATTTTTTTAGATGACTTCTTTTTTCCAATAAGGATCTGATGGCTGATATATGCCGGATTACAGTGAATTAGGTGAAAGAATCAAGCACTTTCCTTATCCTTAATTCCCAAACGGGTCTTGATTCTGGACAAGTAAAAGATTTGTAAGCTGTCCTGCTCTATACAATCTCTTCATCCCAAACCCAATCCCCCCTCTGCCCCTAAATTCTCTGATTCGGTAGTTCAGAAACCCTCTCTGCTTCCCAGAGACTTACCCTTAAACACTGGTGCTCCTAAAGTCAGAGTGGGCACAGTAAAA